GAGTTAATTGTGACAACTGGCATGACAGCAGCACACTTAGTTTTTCTTTGATTGATTGCAATCATATACGGTGTGAGGTGAATGGTAATACATTTTATTTTTTTATTAATAAACGAAAAGTTTTAAAGGAAAATTGCTAGAGAGGTAAAAGTTTCTAAAAGAACAAGTTTATCTAATGCGTATTTTTGGATATCGAGTTTTTACGAAATATAAAAGTTATGGCAAAAAATGGCTTGAGGGGTGGTTATTTCAACCCCTTTCGAGGGGTTAAAATTTTCGAAAAATAGTCGAAAACTCGCATCTGTATTAGTAAACAACCTGTAAAAAATTTGTTATTTGTATCTCGTTCGGTTTTCAAATCACAGCCAATTTTCATAATTTTTTTGGAAACTGATGGCCCATATCCCTTCAGGGGTGAACATGTTACTAAGGCGATTTTTTTGCAGATCGTGTTCTTTTCAAATGTAGATTCACTTGTATCATTTATTCTACTCCATTCAAAAACACCCTGTATAATATAAAGCGATTCGTATAAAGTTAAAACGAGCAAAGAGCCATTAAATGTTGCAACGTAACTCAGCGGGTCACGAGCCATTATAAGCATTATGGCCCGTATTTGCGACAAAGTTAATTTTGAGTGCCAGGTTATGTGCCCCAACGCGTAATAGCATATTTAAGTGTGTCGCGGAAATACCCAAATTATCTTTGTTGGATTCTCGCACTCTGCATTATAAAGGATCGATAATAATTTCATGGTTGAGGTAGTTGTAAGTCTGAAATATTCGTCATAAATCTGGATGCCTACAGTTTGATTAACAAAGTTATATTTGAGTAAGCGGAACATTTACACTGATAATTTTCCTACAGGCTAAAAAAATTGTCAGAGTAGGCTCTAACAGAGAAGCTTATTCAAATATAAGAGCACAATTTATTACTCTCGCTTATTTGTCATATCAGATATACTTTATAAAAAAAAATAACAGAGCATACATATCTATATGTAGCAGCTTTCAGTTGTAAAAGTATGAACTGAACTACAAAGTGGTTAAATACAATCTGAGAGAGACGTTTAAATAGTGAACAAAAAACTGTTTCGGCAAAGCAGCTTAAAATTTTCATTTGTAACTATTCCGAACCTGTTCCGAGTGAAATCTGTTCCGAAAAGAACAAGTATTACTCCGAAGTGGTAATCGCAGTAAAGCTTTTACATAATGGCCACTGACGATGCCGACAGTAAATAAGAGAAACGTTTTGAAATATTGGACGCAACCAATTACTACGAAACGTCTCACCGCAGTTCTATCAGCAACGGCCTTAGAGCTAACAAAAACCAAATATCAGGGCTCCACAAAGTCTAGCCCGAGAACAAGGGCAGGTCAAAGGCTAAGGAAGTACTTTAAATATAATGATAAAAGATAACTTATTTTTCTGCTTGTAACTAGTTATTTGTCGTCAGAGAAATATTATACCATAACAATACACAGCTTCCCTAGAAACAAATTATTGTCAAGCACATCTATTGGCATTGACTAATTCAGGCTCCTTTTTACATGCAAGATGGACGAAGAGAATATTAAAAACATTTTGTTTTGTTTAAATTATTATCTACATTTCAGAGAAAAGACATTTATTTTATTGTTACTTACTTCGTCGTTGAGAAAATTCTAGTAACAACGATCTTTACTGTTTATAATTCCATGTACCTATAAACAAACGGAACAATAAAGATCGATCTATCACTTTTATACTTTTTGTCTTAGAACTAAGTGCATCTATTTTATGCTCCCAAAATTGGAACATAGCGATACGAAATATTTTAGACAAGTTCAGTATTAACATCTAGACGCTCCAAATATATCTAGAGCATCTAGATGTCAATACCGAACTTACGTTTTGTAGACGTTCTTCTGTCCGTTATAAACCATAATGTTACATGATATACGGATATCCGTTTTTTGTCCATTTTTGTCCTAATCATGAATTTGTTTCGGATATTTATTGTATATCCACAAGCTGAAACAAATAACATGTCTCTTATTTGGATATCCATAAAATGTTCTATTTTAATACATACACTGACAGCCATTCATTCATAAATCGTCATTTCCTATAGTTTCAATGGACGCTGATACATGATCAATAATTATAAACAAAAATTATTTAGGTAATAACCTATGCTATTAACACTTCTTGAAATAAGTATACATACTTATATCATAAATTGTAAACTGAAATTTGCAAAATCTCTTTATACTTATTTTGCGTAAAATGAAACCTATTTCACTATTATCTCATAAAATATCCGATTAACCAAAAACAAATGTGCATTCAACATGTTTGCAATAAAGGTTGAAATGTATAAGATGATCTGAAATTTGTTACCTATAAGCGTGAAAATTAAGTTTGTCAATTAATTTCAATTTTATTTATGTTTTTTTAACAATTCATTTTGAACATTCGAGCTCTATTCTATTTGAGCCAGAGGATCCTATTGACGGTACTTTAGTTAGTTCTTCATCATCATCTTCCTTTTGTCTTTCGCTATGTATTAAAATGTTTTTAACTTTAAATTCTTATTAATAGAAGACTAAATACAGGTATGTCACATCATCCATATCATCATATACTCTATAAAATGTATGTTTATATTCTGATATGGAAAAATTGGGTAGAGACCACTCCAGTTGTATTTTATCGCTATTCGAATCATCATATCTAATGGAATTTTATATACCTTTTGCACAAAATATCGTTGATCACCTTATGAAGCATTACTTTATGCCTACTGGCAAAAAGAAACATACTAATTCTTTTACGTATGTCATACAGACAAGAACTAATAAATTTGAAATCGGTCGATGTCTGGCGATTCTGGTCTTTGCTGTCTACATCTGGGGGTGTAATTCAGTGCTCAATGGAGCTGTATTCCTTAGAGTAATTTCTCATATCATTGCTTAAAAAGAATTGATTGTCATCGAACTCGTGACATAATGGACTAGTGTGACTGTATTACAAAAAAAGTTTTTACAGTAATTTTGCTGTAGCTATATATTACTAAATAAAGGGAGAACGGCAGTGGTAAGTTGTACTTCCTATTAACGGATATCACATTTAAGACATAGTAAACTCAGCAGAAAAATTAAGTTAGCAGAAAAATTTCCAATTTCGTATTGAGGAAACAAAAGCATCTTGAAGCTTGAAGATTCTAGTTTTGAAATCATGATGAAACATTTTTTTTGAGCATCACTCAGGGCACTCAAAAGAAATAATGCAAGCCAAAAATTTTACAATTCTTTTTTCAAAAGCCCATGGACTAATTATTTATCAAGATTTCAAAACTACAATCTTCAAGTTTCAATATGCTTTTCTTTTCTCTATAGGACAATTATCCACGAAGTTACAGCCTTTCAAAAATCACTAAAAAAATTGTCTTCCAAATTTGTTTCGATTTTGTACTTTTTAAAATTGCAGCTTAAATAATAGGTACCTACATAATATTTGAGACGGTGGTAAATGGTAAATACACACTACCTTGTACAGAATATAGAAAAAAATTAAGTAATCTTCGTACAGTACTGGTTATTGTGGAACGCCTTATATTTTCAGTAAAATGAACCTCTTGGCAACAAATAATTTTCCCCTAACAAAAACTGCATATTTTGCAATTTTATTATTTCCGTTTTATGTGCTTCCATAAGAGTTCTTTTATATCTTTATTTCAGATGTGACAACCAGGATTCCCTAATTGCCTTCGTGCACATAGACGGCCGAATGGAAAAAATAGACAGCTTTTGTGGTAACACATTACCAAAACCTGTCATGTCCAACGGACCTAGGCTTAAGTTAGAATTTCAAAGTCTCATCGCATCTAGATACTCGAGAGGCTTTAAAGCGACATACAGCTTTACAGAAAGTAAGTGGCTTTAAATATTAATTTCGTGCAGCTTTATCAATTTTAAAGCACTGGAGTTGAATATTAAACTCTACAAGGTATAGCGAATTATAATAATTTTTGAGAGTTGTAGATCTCATTTCACAGATTATTATTTTTCCATACATATTCTATAATACAGGGTTATTATTAACTGATTTTGTACAAAAATCTCTTCATACGAGATTGTACGAATTTTTAACACATTCTTACGAAAAGGTTAATTGTATATGAATTCATGGTACCTTTGTTTTCTTATTCCATGTCACAGTTAAGTGAGAATTTCATTCTTTTGTCCAGTGATGACTATCTTTCATACTTAATAAGTCGAATCCATTTTTATGACACTTGATGGTTATATAATATATTATGCTATTCACACGAAATGAACTAACATCTCAAAAATTCGTATGAATTCATAAGAATAGTCATAGGCAGTATAAACCATACCAGACCCCAACTCCTCCCCTCCATTAACTTCTTTCAGGATGGAATTCTATCGAAACGGTTCAGATAAAAATGAAAAAAATAAAACTAAGTTCAACCTGAAAATATTCGATGAAACACCCTATTTTTATGTGTACCATCGACAGAAGCCCAGATTGGTACGTACGGAGTATGCACTTAGCAGTTTTTTCTATACCTATTTCTTCTATATGTCCTCGGAGGTCAAATTTGAAACTTTTTTTAATATAATTTAATCCTGAAAATATAAATATATATTTCGATACCTTTTTGCGGTACCCTGAATATGTGAATAAGCATACATATTTGTTTTGTATGAGTTTGTAATACGAGTACATATAATACTCGTGCTTTACTTCTCTGTCAAAGGTTAAAGTCTCACAATAACCGTTTTTCTAACACAATATTTAAAAAAAAATCAGTCACTTGATTTGATAGAAACACCTTGATCAAAGCAGAAATTCTTACGTCACAAAACGCAGTAAGTATAAAAATATAGGCGAATACACAGTGTGATTCAAAATATATATAAAAAAATTTGAATGTACAGGGGACTCGTACAAATACAATTTTATAAAAAAAATCAAAAATGGCAATACGAAAATGATTTAATAATTCACTTCGCACGGCACTGGAAACTGATCCACTGTAAAACCTCACCTTGCACGAAGTCGGCGACCGGTACGGCGGCAAAGTGTAATAAAAAATGAACGGACAAAATATTGAAAGAATTTCCCAAGGAAAGAAATAAATAAAATTTTATAACACTTATTTTATATCAGCAAATGCAACTGCTTTTTCCGCTATTGTTATTATTAATTAATAAAAATTAATTTGTGGCTTTAATTAATAAGATAATTCGACATACCTGATGTTACAACAACTTTTCAAAATTTTGTCTACCGACGTGTAAACACATTTGGGAACGTCTTATCGAGGTTCTACGAACTAACACAAATGTCGTCTTGCTTCACTATAACACATATGTTGCCTTACTTCACCATAAATTAAAACGATATTCATCAACTCCGAGTTGCTATTTTTGACATTCGAAAAACTAATGTAAACATTATCGCAAAAATGTTAATACAAAATTAAGATCGCCTGAGGCTACGTGGAAAGAGAGCGCACTGCACACAGCGCACAACGAGGATAGAATAGATTCCGATGATACTAGACTACAGTAGCCCAACGATGTAAAGGTTGAAAATACTACAACTATAAGGATTTTACAAAAAAAATTTTTACGAAATTGACATTTTTTTTTGGCTAAGTTGTGAATCACTCTGAATATGTATTTTAATCGGATATTTCATACGAATCCGTACGATTTCATACAAATTAGTTTCGTACATATTCGTGACCACTGTCAAAGTAGTCGAGGAAATAAAGCACTGAGCCTCCGAAATTTTTCGATCAAGTCGTATCAAGATGGGATTTTTTGCATTCGGTTTCTAAAATTATGTGAAAAAAATTTATCAACTTTGTATTATGTTTTTCGGGCAAATTGCATTTGTGCAGTGCAAAATGCGTCCGGAAAAATGCATTTTTTAAAGTCATTTAGAAAAAATTCAGAACTCGGTTAATAATGCCTAGAAAGGACTCAAATCAGGATCCTGGGGGTTTTCGAGGTCGCTGATCCCGAATATGACCTTCAAATTGGTCCATCGCCGACCTGGAGCTTAGGATTGATGATGAACGTTATCTCCGAGGCTTCTCCTGAATTTCACTCTTAAATGCAACGAGACTTGACACTTGGAGGTTTTTCGGGTCGCTGATTCCTAATCTGACGTCGGCGAGCACCACCCGGACACTTGGTGCACCGGAACCTGAGCATGGACGTCATCTCCGGGAGTTTTCCTTTAAAATTTGCGTAAACCAGCCGAAAATCGCATCAGGAGATCTCATTTAAAGTATGCAAGATGAAAATAAAGAGAATAAATTGAATGAATATCACAATGTATGCAAGTGTTGTTTCAAAAACAAATCAAAATCATTTATTTCCAAATCTATTGCCATTTCTAACCTACTCTTAACTTCAATTTAATTTATCTCAAATATAATCTAACTCCATTTTATCCTAATCTAATCAACTATTAACTTTAATTTGAAAATATTCTACTAAATATCATTTTCATCATCAACTGACGTATAGGGCAAGGATAGTTTTTCGAGGGCCCCGGTCTGAGGGTCCACAGTCGTGCATCCGTCATATTATAATGCGATTTTCGGTTCGTTTACGCGAATTTTACAAGAAAACTCCCGAAAATTACGTCCATGCCCAGGTTCCAGTGCACCAGGTGTCCGGCGGGTGCTCGCCGACACCAGATTAGGAATCAGCGACCCGAAAAACCCCCTGGTGTCAAGTCTCGTTGCATTTAAGAGTGAAATTCAGGAGATGACGTTCATCATCGATCCTAAGCTCCAGGTCGGCGATGGTCATATTCGGGATCAGCGACCTCGAAAACCCCCAGAAACCTGTTTTGAGTCCATTCCAGGCATTATTAACCGAGTTATGAAATTTTTTAAGCGACTTTAAAAAATGCATTTTTCCGGATGCATTTTGCACTGCACAAATGCAATTTGGCCGAAAAACAATACAAAGTTGATACATTTTTTCCACATAATTTTAGAAAGCGAATGCAAAAAACCCCATCTTGATAGGACTTGATCCAAAAATTTCGGAGATTTCGGCTCTTTTTGTGCTTTATTTCCTCGACTAGCGCTGCCATATAATGTTTTGTTTATATTTATTATTTTGAATTAAAATACTTAATAAATTGTGTTACTTTTTCCGGGTACCTATTTTTACTTCATTTCAGTTTACTTTTTTGCATTTTCATCTTAACAGGTATCAGTGTTACCTAGTGTAAAAATAACTATTCTTTAATGCAAATTCTTTAATTTTTATATTTTACTATTGAGTTCTCGTTTCAGATTTTGGTATTAGAACCGGTACCCAACTACCAGATTACCCATGTGCCTTTGTATTTAATAGTAACGAATCTAGAAGTGGATATTTCTACAGTCCAAATTATCCAGGTTTCTACCCAAGGGACACTGAATGTCATTATTTCTTTCATGGAAACCTGAAGGAGAAAGTACACCTACATTTCAATTATTTCGATGTTGAAGGAGTATTACCGTAAGTTTATATACTTTTGTAAGCATAAACAGCTTTATGGAGACTATGACGACGTCATACTTTCTCACACAAATGTTATTTACAGTTGCGAAGCCATATCAGCTAGCGACTACGTAGAATTTTCAAACTTCATGGCTCGAGATCGAAAATACTCCCGGCATTGTGGTCAACTCAAAGAATTTGACATCGAATCGGATAGAAAATTCTTCAGAGTAACCTTTCGTTCTAATGACAGACTAGATGGTACAGGATTCAATGCGACTTATCACTTTATGGACGAAGTAGAAACTTACACAGGAAGGCCATCAGAAACGTCTAAAGGACCTCAAAGTATCCACGGTGAGTACTTACTTACCATATTTCCCTTTTCGTTCTTCTGCATGTTTTCGTGTTTATTGAAAAGAATATTAACATGATTCAGAAGTAACTGAATTGCAAAATATTTGTTCAAACATGAGAATTAAAAATTTCAATATAATTCAATCGCGACATTTTAGTAGATATTTTTATCCATTTCCTTATGTAAATTCAATAGCGTAAACAATTGTGGGTACACGTGCCCGGCCTAATAGTTGCAAGGACAAAGAACAGACGCGGGACGCACCAGGGTTCCAGGAAAGGTCCACGGCAGTTTGGCGCCAGGACCAGATACATGTACATGCGAGCGACTCCATACCAAAACTCTCTAGCGAACGCTCGCCCCGACAACACTTCTTTTTCAGTAACTTTGTTTTCAATAAAAATACTTTAATTTTTACTGTTGAGAGAGAGTTTTATTTTGCTGCTTCCGCAAGCAATCCCTCTTTTGGTGTGTCTCATTTAATGAATATTTTTAAGTATGAGTTTAGACATTAACTGAAGAGCCCAAAGTTGGGCACAGAAAAAATTTATATACACCACTTGAGTCTTAGTAGGTACATTGATAATGAACAAACAATTATTTTCTACGTAAATAATGAATTCTCTCAAATAAAAAAACATTACAGAAAACGCCAAAAAAATGAAAAACACTCCCTGTATCTCTTATGTTATTCAAGATGTCAGGACATAGTTAAATTTTTTTTAATGAAACGAGACACATCTTGATTTTCCGCAAATATAAAAACCTGATAAAAAACAGGAAATTTGAATTTTCAATTCATACATTTTGCATTTACAGCTGTTATTTTTGGAAAAAACTATTTGAACATATTCTGCACTCAAATAAAGTCGTGCAATTTTTATATTCAATATAACTTTTTTTCTATATCCAAAAATAACAGCTGTAGAGTATTCTGAAAATAAGAGCAAACAAATTAAGATATTGATAAAACATCAAAAAGCGAAAGAATTTTTTCCTATGGACCATGGGTCCATGGTATATTTTGATCATATTTTCCAAAAAAAAAGAAACAATGTATTGCATTGAGATTTGGTACAGGAAAGTTGCTGACTGTGCTGTATGTCACTATTTTTTACCATCTGCTATAGATTTCCTACCAGTATTTTATAACAACTTTCTGATGTTATAGTCTTTACATATATATTCTAATCTAACATTTCATTTTATACAAAAAAATATTCATGTTAAAATCGTTCAAAACACACTTTTTGTTTTTTTTCTCCAGTCGACCAACTACTATTTCTTAATTTATTTACTATGCGGAAATTAGTTTGATTTCAAAGATAACTTCTTTTTTAGAAAAAAAAACAAATTGTACCAAAGTAATTTCCTTTTTCTATATTCTGTACATTAATAGAACCTGTTTGGTTTTGAAACAGTCAATTGGGCATTTCTCAAAAACATGTGCCATTGCTTCTTATGATTTTATCAAGAGTATTTTTTTGTAAAATTAATTTTTACGTTGTAATTTAAAAGACCTAGCAAAAGTACCAGCTAGCAAAGACTTACCAGTACAATGTCAATGCAGAAGGTATATTGTTTTTTTTATGAAAAGATATTGTTAATATTTATTTTTAATTTTTTAATACGCCCTGTATTTTAAAAACAGAAGTCTATGGTTTATAGTATAAAAATTGTCTAATTTTTTATGTTACACCAACTTTTAAATTTTTATAGAATGCCATGCATAGTGAAACTTTGCCCACACTTACTATAAACACTGTGAAGATATCCTCAGTAATTTAATTTTTTCAATTTGTTCCAGGTACTGCTACTGTCTCGACTTTGATATTCATCATATTGATGATAAAAATGTCAACATAATCATTTTAATTAGAAAACTTTTTTAAAGCAATACTTTTCCAAGAACAAAATCAAGAAATTATGAAACTTTATTACCTAAATAGACTTAAGAAGTTTGTAAAAAACACTATTTTAAATCCAAGACTGTATAAATAAATTATATATAGTACTTACTGAGTGTGTTATGTTTCTATGTTAAATTATTTATGATTGTGTTATGATGTTGAAAATCTGTGTATGTATTATTTAAAATAATTTCTCGACATATCTTAAATATATGGGGTTATTTGTTTAGCTTGTAATAGCTCCGAAAAATTAACATAAGTATTTAGGAAATGAGTTAGTGGAGGCTGGTTCTCAAGATACAACTGCGAAATAGCGTTTGACACTATTGATTTTTGCAAATGTACATATAATATGAATGGACATGTGGACAAAAAAGTCAAAATTATGAGATATGTTAACATTCCTAAGAAAAATTATAGATATCTAATTCCATTATTTCATCCAAACATTTGAATAATAATCAAATCCCAAATAATAAAACAATTGGTATTCGGTTTTATTGTTTAATAAGAAGGTACCTTCTGAAATTATTCTTTATCTAATAACTAGAATCAATTTGTTAGTTATCTAAGAGCCTTTATTTATATTAGATATTTTGAAATAAGTACCCACAATGCGGTTTGATTTTTTATATCAAACTTTAGGACCAGGCCTATTAAAATATATATAATTTTAATGTAAATCCAAAAATCGTTTACTTTTTGATGAGGTGTTAAAATTTCTTTTAAAAATATTTTTTAATATTTTCTAAACCCAATGAAATTTTACATAATGTTTCTCAGATGTAGTTTTTAAATGCATTTTAAATTTTTTAGTTTTATCAATGGCATAGATGGTGGATGACTTCATTGCTATAACACCACTGAAAATATACGAAAACTACAACAAATTTTTGCAGCTGTTTCTAAAAATATGTTTTTAATAAATACACTTTATTTTGAAATGTTCTCATTTACTATTAAAAATGAGATGCACTATTGTATTGCAGAACAAAAAGAGATTATATTTAATAAAAGCCCTCCCCCTTTTTTATGATACAAATAAAACTAGAAAATTTTAAATAGATACATTTAAAAACTGATCATTATCATCAAAAACGTTAGGTACATAAAATGAATGTAACATTTGAAAACTTCATACCCATTTTTTGATAATCTACTTGATCCTAAAATTTAGTAAGAAATGTAACCACTCTGGATATTTTATGAGAGAAATGATTTATATATCATTAAAGGAATATCTGAACTATCCACTGCTTTTAATAGACTGTCTCATTTTCTGTGGGAATGTTGAATATTTTGAAATGAGAACATGGTGATTAGTGCTGATTTAAACTCTATATGAACTGTGTCGGAAAAATACAATGGACTCATTATTATCAATGTAGACCGAATATCAAAGACCCTATGGCCATGTGATTTTTAAGAAAATCTGACAATGTATAAATAATATACACTGCATCCTTAACCACAAAATAAAAATAAACAAATTTAAATACATAATAAAAATGAAACACCTGTTTTTATTACTTATTTCATACTTCAAATTCAGTGCTTTTTACTAAAAAAAATTAAGAATTATTTTTCATTCATTGAAAACCTAATAAAACATTGAAAAATTATATTTTGGTGATATATTACAACTCAGAAATGCAAATGTTAGTTTTAACTAAAAAAGTAGTCATTACAAACTACTAAAATAGAGGTCTGGTTCAACCATAAGTGTAAAAATTTAGGAAACTGCAAACATATTTAAAAATGTAAAATAGACCTCCTTTTTATACTGATTACAAATATATTAAAAGGAAAGTTTTTGTTCACTAATAAGAGTACCTACAGATTTTGAGACCCATGAAAACTGCAACAGTGTATATATTATAAATATATCGAGATATTCAAGACAGTAGTTGTGATACAAAAATTAGTAGGACAATAACAAAAAAATATATCACATGACAGGATTTTTAGAAGGCAACATATCTTATATTTTCTTCTAGATAAACTATTGATAATTGCTCGAAGGAATTATATCTTCTACTATTTCAAATGTTATGGAACTCGATGTATTTATTATATTTTAAAAGGTCTTATAGATGCTATAAAAGAAACAAGCTACTTTTTTCGTTCTATTGACAAATATTTAGCATATCCATCATATTTGTATCATGAACTGTACCCCATATTTGCTATTATTCTACATAATTCAAAATTCCGATGGACTCAAAGAATTCAAATTCTGTGTGGACTAGAACTCAAATTGGTTCTACAGTATCCAAATCCACAAACAAAATACATTTTCTTGATGTCTATGGTTGCAAGGAATTATTTATATATAAAAAAATATATAATAATAATTGCACTTTTGTTAGACATTTTAATAATTATAGGTACTTGTTTTATATTTCTTTTTCAAATGGCAAGGCATTTTAAATTCATTTTTCTTTAAGATAGGTACTTGCTACTTCAATTCTGCTGTTTGAATTATTGTGTAAAATATATTATTCTAAATTATGAACTGGTGTTTACAGAAAAAATAGCGTCCTTGTGGAGAATTGCTCACAAATTGAACTTAATATACTCCACCCTTTGAGATTAATTTGTTTTAATATTTAGTGACAAATACATGTCAAAAAAATGCAGATGGAATATTATAATAATTGATCCTTTTATCTTTCTATAAACACCAATCTTGATAACTTATTGTAGACTGTGAATGAAAGGACCCTTTGTAAATAACTACTTATATATGAAAATAGTGCACAACAATAAAATTAATAAATACTTGTTATAAATATTGTGTTTATTTATTTACTATATTTTGTATAAGCAATGCAGAAAATATATTTCACTGAGCGGTAACTATTGACCAAAATTTGTACAGTAAAATATTCACTTTCATAATTAATTAGTTATTAATAATCAACATTAATTAACAATTAACATAATTAGTGTTACACAAATAATAGAAGAGAATAGGGGGGAAGAGGATGACGACACATTGTATAATAATGGCATAATGGCTTTAATGCCCAAATATTACTGAAGAATTCCTCAAATATTACCCAGTATTGCTCAAATATTACTTAAGCTTGTATATTTACTAAAATACTCTCGGGGTTTCCCATTCATAATAATAGGATGTTGAATAAGTTTTCGCTTTTCGTGAAAATCAATGCTTTATTAAAAGTAAATTAGTAAAAAACATGCCACTAAAAATATTGTCCATAGTTAGCCATTACTTTTTGCCATCTTTCTGGCAGCATTTTAATTCCACATTAGAGTGAACCCAATTTTTGGCATCTTCATAAGAATGCCGTTCAGTCAAGAAATATGCCATCGATCGAAACAAGTGATAATTGGAAGGGGCAATGTCTGGGAAATATGGCAGATGGGGTAAGACTTCCCATTTAAGAGTTTTCAAGTAGATTTTCATCGGTATTGCAAGATATGGCCGAGAGTTGTAATGCTGCCAAATCACTTTGTCGTGGAAGTTTTTTCTTCAATGTTCGACTCAAACACATCAATTGCAGTCGATAGCGATCTCCAGTGATGGTTTCATTCGGTTTGAGTAGCTCTTAACAAACTACACCTAGCTGATCTCACCAAATGGAGAGAAGCTTGGAACCATGGATATTCAGCTTTGACGACAAGGTTATTTTCTGTGTTTAGCTATCAATTTTTTATTGCCAGTTATGACTTAATGCAAAAGACCTTTCCTTTTCTGCCGCTAAAGCAGCTGTTTGCACTTGCAAAGACATCAAATCTGCTTCGAAACTGTTGTCTAATCAACTCCTAATGATTCTGTAAGTTCGGCTAGTATCTGTCATGAGTCTTCATGAAGTAATGGTTCAAATTTTTCATCCTCAAACTTTTTCGGTGTGCCAGTCATTAATTTTGAAGCATCTATTCTAAACCAATCTCTGCATGTTGTTTCTGACAGAGCATGGTCGCCGTAAGTTTCAACAAGAATTCTGTTTGCTTCAGATTTCTTTTGAATAAAATAGCACAGTAAAATTTCCAACAAATGCTCTTTTTAGGGCATAAAATTTGACTATGAAAAAGAAAGTAGTTTACATTTCGGCGAAAAAACAGAATTTCAAGCTTGTTTATAGTACTTCTTTATACAGGGTGATTTAGAACTTATAAAAAAAAATTTTTGGACGTACTGGGGACTCTTACAAATACAATTTTATAAAGAAAAACCAAAAAGGGCAGTTCCAAAATGATTTAAAAATACAGTTCTGCGCGGCATTGGAAACTGTTCCACTGGAAAACCTGACCTTTCACAATGCGACCGGCGCGGCATGGCGGTAAAGTGTGATAAAAACGGACAAAAACTTTGGCAAGGAAAGAAATAAATATAATTTCATAGCACCTATTTTATATCGGCAAATTCAACTGCTTTTGCCGTTATTGTTATTATTATTTAATAAAATTAATTTGTGGTTTTAAATAATAAAGTAATTTGACATACCTGATTTTACAACTGTTCAAAATTTTATTCACCGCCTTATAAACATAAATGTTGGCTTGCTTTACCACAACACAAATGCTTCACCATAATACAAATGTTGTCTTGCTTCACCATAAATTAAAACGATATCCATCAACTCCAAGTTACTATACACGCAAGCCATTTTTGACACTAACTAGTAAAAATCTATTGTAAACATCACCACAGTAAACACTGTATTGTAAAATCAGATTTCAGTATTCGGAGTCGCTGAAGCTATGTGGCTCTCCACGTGTATTGCGAATGACGCTAGAGACTACAGTTGTCCAGCAGTTATGACAAAATCAACAAATCAAAACGGTCTTTTTTCTAAGCCCATACCATAACTGCAGGAGGTTGTTTTCATTAGTTTTTTTTTTAACAAAATCGCTTTTTATTGGATGGAGTAGTTTTAGTTATTGTTGTGAGTTTTCATCCAACAGGTTGGCAGATGTTAAATCAACATGATAATGTTAAAGAATAAAACTCATTCCCTGGCCGTTATGTACATTAGATGGTTGTATATT